AAAACTACCTTTTGAATATGAAAAAAAAATTGAACATTGAATAAAGCTGAAAAGCCCGAATTTTGAAAGTTAATTGGTATGTATGTTAATAAGTATGGAATTTTTTTTCTTCACTTGCACTTAGTGTATATTTTTAATAATGGTCCGCAAGAAAATTTTCCCCTTACTTATGAAAGTAACACAAAGCATTGAATGAAATATGATACAATGCATTCAGTAAAGGAGAAAGTAAAAACTTCAAATTTTTTTAAAAAATAAAATAAAAGCCCATATAGGCGATAATACCAACTATTTTTTTCATGAATTGCAATATATGTAAAGCTTAATGGCTGAAGAATTAGAATCGGTCATTTTGCATCTAACACAAATGAAACAACCATCAAAACTAAATATGATTAGGTCTAAGTTATGAGACCAGTACTTATTAATAAAAGAGACGCTTTAAGGTGTTGTCTTTTAAAGAAACACACAAGAGTAGAATAATTAAAATACCATATATCAAAATGTATATATCAAATTTTTGAACCCATAAAATTTTACAAAAATTTGGGGCTCAATTATTCACCAGCAGTGAAGATGGGCATTAATTGATCGAGAAATATTGATGCATTATGATCGATGTGATAGATATGAATAACTCTGTATGGATTTACCCCTTTCAAAAAATTTTTTAATATGTTATATACAATTAATTTTCATTTTTGTTCATAATATTTTTTTTACATATAAAGGTTTTCTTTTAAAAAACAATACTTATGATCAGAAAAAGAAACATGACAAATATAAAAAAATCAAAATATTTTTTCCCAGAATATTTAAAAAAATAAGACATTTGCCTTTAACATTTAGATGTTTGATAACTATATTTAAAAATTATATGGCTTAAAATTAGAACAGAAATGTAAGCATTGTATTTAATATATGAAATTAGTTGAAATTAGAATTTTTTTCATGTATGTAAACAAATTACAATAATTAAAACTTACACGGACCTTTATAATGTGAATAAAAGATAAACACAATAAATGTTTCTAAGTGATAAATAATCTAATCATAACTAAATGCATACTTGCAGTAGGTGAAATATAGACTATGTCATCATTAGGTGTAGAAAAACCATTCAAAGTAAAGTCTGACATACTTCGGAAATCACCAAAAGAAACCGCATTATTCATATCCTTGATAGCTTTACTCATTAACCTATGTTGCTCTTGTATTTGGTCAATTTTAATTTTAATCTAGAAGAAAATAAAACAAACAAGGAAAGTTAAGTAACTGTCTTCAACAAAAAAATCTACAGTCAAATTAAGTATTTTAAGATATCAAGTTCGTCATTAAGTAGTTGAGTGAATTATCACTTTAACAGAGAGACAAAAAATAAATTGATTATCCATATCCTTGATAGCTTCACTCATTAACCTGTGCTGCATTGTATTTGATCAATTTTAATTTTAATCTAGACAAAAATACACAAACAAAGCAACTTTAATTGTTTTCAACAAAAAATCTACAAAGACGAATTAAATTGTAAATATTTTAAGCTGTAAAGTTTTTTCAACAAGTAGCTCAAAGCTCAATTTTCAAAAACATAATAATGCAGCAGAGGATATAATTGAAAAGCATAAAGCAGGAATATGATAAGTACAATTTTCGTGAATTATCACTTTAGCAAATATACAAAAAATTAAATTGCTTACATAAGCTTTATATTTATTTTGAAGAAAATTAAATAGAAAAAGGATAAAATAAGGCTGTGTTTATATCGTTTTTTTTCCTCCACAAAAAACAAATCATAAAATAAGCTTTAAATTTACTTAAAAAATAAATAAATAAGTAGGGACAAGTAATAAAGATTTATTGTGTTTTTTACAGTGGATAAATTTCAGTGCTTCAAACTCAATCTTCGAACCAAATAAACAGAATGAAATGGAGAAAATATATGTGTTAGATTAAGCGAGAATGATGCATTTGTGTTTTCATGCATTGTTTTTAATTTACTATTGTTATCACATTAAAGTGGATTATTTGCCTTTTATAATTACAAGTGTTTTTAAAAATAAGCTAAAATTTAATAAACAATATTAAGTAATATAAAATTATTTACTTAGCTTATCTGATGGGTTCTTGCTACTTTGCAAGGAAGAGGTCAATGCATCAAGTTGAGTTTTACTTGAATTTAGCTTGCTTTTGCATCTGGGACTCTTTTTTCCTTAACTCATTCAATTCCACCCGCTTTTCATTCAGTTCCTTTTCTTGTATCTAAATAAGCATAAATTTAATTACTCAAACAATAACATACTCTAAATTTATTATCAATATATTGAAATAATTTCTAATTAATCTTAACAAATTAAAAGACTAAATATTTGACAAAATCAATTTAAATTTTTAACAACAAACTTTTAATTCCATTTCTTGTTCTTCTTCCTGTTTTTTCATAGCATCAATCTGTTAAGGAAAAAAGACATACATGATTAAAAAAATAGGATAGAACTGTGTTTTCAAAAAGAAAAATTTGTATGTTTTAAAAATACCAATTCAGTTTATGGCATATAGTGCAAAGAATAAAATTTATCGAAATATATTTTTAAAAAAATAAGTTTTTTTTGTTAAATTATTTTGAAATAAGGAGAAAAAGAACTTGAACTTTTTGATAATGTGGTAAAAACAGGGTGGCCACTCAAATCAGGTTTCAAATTTCCCTGGTTTTTCCAGGTTTTTCAGTAAGAATCTTAAAACTTCCAGGTCAGCGTGTTTTTTTCTCTCATAACGCGCAGGTGGGTACAAGAAAAGTTTTAATATTATAAAGTATTTTATTTAAAATGTTATTTTTTTAATATATCATCTTGAATAGATGTGAAAAAATAATACGTTTAGCTTGTAGAATATATCACTTTTAGTGAATAAAAAATGTTTTAAAGTGTTAGTTTTGCAGTTTTTGCACAAAATGTACCAAATAGCAAATACAGTGACCCCAAAAAAATTAAATTGCCTTCTATTTCCTGTTGGAGTGGATGGATCAATGTGTATTATACAATTTTCTATCTTGTAAAAGTTAGTTGAAAAATCGCTAATTTTAATCGTGCAAGAACCACGTTATTTTGAAAAGAATTAGAAATTGCAATTTTTATTTACATTAAAGTTCAAATTCAAATTTGTTTATTTTCTCAATATGGCTTAAAAGGAATATATAAAAACTAAAACGTTCTAGATACTTCAATTGTTTTAAATATTTTGGAATACGGTCTTTTTTTTCTTTTTCCAAAATGGACTAAGATCAATTTCTGAATTCGAACAAATTTTTTTTGAAGAACAACCTCTTGTGCTCTTTTTGTTACAATTATCCACGAAATTAATTAGTAACGTTTATGTGTGATAATTAGTTAATAACGCTTTACTGTATGAAAAACTTTGTATCGAAACTAGTAAACAATTTGAAAAAAAGAACTTGAATATTTTTTTTTAAAGGGAGCTGAAATTTTTTGCTTTGATAAGTGGGTGGTAGGGACCCTAAGATCAGAATTACTAAGATCTGAGCTATTAAGTATTTTCTTTTTTCTTATCTTGGCTTTTACACATTACCAACTTTTTACTCTTACAAAGTATAGTTTTATACTTAATTATTACTCACAACCCCAGTTATTCATATTGTGTTTTAATATGTTACTAGTAAAAAAAAAATTGAAAGGAAATTGCACAATTACTATATTTAAAGGCAATATGAAGACATAGTTTCATGCCCTGATGGCTCAGGGTATAGAGTGCTTGCCTTCCAATAAGGTGAAACGGATTCGAATTCCTGCGATGGCTGGTCGATTCGAATTCCGCACCCGGCTTGCATCGACCCTAGTGCTGGCGAAAAATATCCTCAGGGGCAGACGGATCATGGGTTAGAGTCCCCTTGCCGTCAGATAAACCGCGGAAGGTTTTCGCTGTTTATCTGACTCAGTTTTCCTCTCAGGTAAATTCTCGGTTTTCTCTCAGTTTAATGCAAATGCGTGATTGTTCTATCAAAAAAAGTTTTCCATAAAGGTAAATTTCTCCAAATACTTGATCACGTGTCTTCTGGTTGGGGTTCAAAATGACAAGGCTACGTAGTAGAACATTTGAAGTCGTAAATCCAAAATTGGGTTGGCTGTTCAACGACTGTTATAAAATAAAATTGTCAAGGAAAATCACGATGCCGCAACGGAAAATCAATTAATAAAATTTTGATAACTTTTGACCAATAAAACACCTTTAAGCATCAGCTCATTTTATTTTCTAGCCGGCTTTGAATATTGAATCTGTAGCCAATGTCAGCTCCAATATCCGGACAAACTAGCCTTCGTGAAGGACTTTTTAATATAACTAACCCACATTTGTGTCATATGGAGTAGAAAACGACGAAAACATCCAACGGTCAGCCCGGCAGCAAGGTAACAACATATACTCATTGTAGGAAGATGTTAGTTTATAAAAATGAAGGGAAATTAAGTATCTTTCATAAGCATTGCTTATTACTTTCCTCTCATTTCGTAAGGAAAAAATAAGCTTGGAAGCGTTCGTTATATTTGCAAAAACCTGAAATTTCATGTAGCATGAAGTTGAAATATTACAAAATGCAGATCAATTCTATGACGTAACTTAATCTCATCATAAAAACAATATATTTTGTTAAATGCATGGGAAACAATTAGATTTCATACGAAATTATTATCAGTTCAAAGGGTTTTTTAGATATAAAAAATATTAGTTAAGTTTGAATTTTGCAAAACTGCAAAAACAAAAAAAGGTGTGGTCAAAACACTCCTCAGCTGATTTCTGATCCACAAGTTTAGATTTCAATTTCCTTTCAAGAAAATCATAAGAAAAACGTAAAGTTTTGTTTGCCCATCCACAAAATTAGTTTTGACTAAAACAAATTTCAGCCAGTTTATTATTTAGAAACTTCAATCTTGAATTTCGCACTCAAACAAAATTATGACCTAGAAACGACAAATTAGAATTTGACTTCTAAACGTTTCTTCAGTGTTTCCCAAACTTATGATATTTGTGTACCCTTTCTAAATTTTTCGTAACGCTCTGTACCACTTATAAAAAAATTAATGCATACTTTTTAGTATAAAAAATTGCATAAAAGTTAAAAATCACAACTGGCTGTTGATACCACTAATTATTAGCTGTTAACTCTGCAAAAAATAGCCAATAGAAAAGTACGTAATCGTAAATTTTTTATGGTTAGCTTTGCTTTTAAATAAAATTTTTTGAAATTTTCGTTTGTTGCAAATTATTTTGCATAAGAATGCGTACCCCCGATAAACTGTTCCCGTACCCCTAGGGGTACGCGTACCCCACTTTTGGAAATACTGCGCTAGTCCGTTGTAGCATATCGTGATCCCAGCTAAAAATAATGGGATTTTAGGGTCGCATATTAACAATGCTCATAAATAAGGGCTGAGTTAGAAATCTGAAGACAGAAGGAACTGTCGGATGGTTTACTTGTCGCAAGAAATGGAGAAAATATATGTGTTAGATTAAGCGAGAATGATGCATCTGTGATTTCATGCATTATTTTTAATTTACTATTGTTATCACNTAACCCCGACAAACTGTTTCCGTACCCCTAGGGGTACGCGTACCACACTTTGGGAAACACTGTGCTAGTCCGTTGTAGCATATCGTGATCCCAACTAAAAATAATGGGATTTTAGGGTCGCATGTTAACAATGCTCATAAATAAGGGCTGAGACAGAAGGAACTGTCGGATGGTTTACTTGTCGCAACTTTAACCAAATTTACACGTTGTTTAGACATATGATGCGTTTCAAATATTCATAACAAAAGTAAATTACGATATATAAGTAAATTTGAACTTGAATTTATTTCACTTTTTGTTATCAGACATCGCTCATATCCTTCCTCCCACTTTGCCCGAAAAAGTGAGCAAATCCCTTTCCGACTTTAGGTGCTTTCGTTATATCTGAACGGCCCGAAAATGTATAGAAGAGCAAGAGTATAATTCTTACCAGAGCTATGATGAATCACAAAATACTATTCTTCATCAGAAAGACAACATCCTGTGCTATAAAATGCAAAGTAATCAATAAGATATGAATAAAATATCAACCTTTTCAAATAATAATAAATTTAAGACACATATTGAATAAGTTGACACTACTATTTATTTGTTCGAAGAAAAATTTCATTTAAGAACTGTTATACGAGTTAAATTTTTCCCTATACCTCTGTTAACCGAAGTTAGCCATCTGAGCATAAAGATGAATTATCAGTTGACACCGGCCACAGGGAGACTAATTATATAAGAAATGGCGATTAAACAAATGCCTGCCATTCGCCACCTGAAAATCCTTTTTTCTCTAAAATTGCGTCATGCTCTCCAAAATCAGTGATTTCGACTTCTTGTATTACGCCGAAAAGATGCTACCAAAACTTACATCCACATATTGTTGTTACGCATATGTGGTTACATCCACAAATACTTGTCTATACCAGAAAGCCTGCTGGGTGAAATCAAGCGAATTTTGAAGCAGAGCGTATGCTTTTTCAGTTGCTCCATCTATGGCCAGAAGGTTACTTCAGACACTGCCCGTTTAAAGGATGAACCCATTCATACATACACAGATCATAATTTTGACCTGAACCATCTATTTCAGCAGAAATATGGTTTGTTATGGAAACATGGGGGATTTTGTGACCCGACAGATTTAACGAGAACCAGTCACCATTTACTACACGGGAAGTCTCGACCAACGCCCAATGCTCCTCTACCAACCAGGCAATCCCGGCCTCCCACGCATTCTTTCATTCGTAAAAGTTACAAGATTACTAAATAAGATTTCAATGATGAATAAAACTATTTTTTTTTTATCTTTCTTACTTATTGCAATACGAAAAACTGAGATTTACAGTGATAAAGGTTCTTTTGAGAATTAAAAACAATTTTTTTTTTATCAGAATTAAATTCTAAATTATTTTTTTAACGGCGATTTCATTCAGACGCATTTTTAGGTGTTTTTTGATATACTTCTTGTATCGTCGCTTTTTTCAAAAATTTTCGGCTTTTAACTTTTGTTTTAAGAATTTTTTTTCTCCATTTTTTTCTTTTTCTATAATTTTTTTTTATTATGTCTGTTTATATAATGAAGCGGTTTTTTCCCCAACTGTTTCTACTAGAATTTTTATGGCAAGTTTTTCCCAAAATTGTGGTAATATGAAAAACTGAGATTTTTAGAACTGTTTTTTTTTTCTGCTATTCTTTCTTTGAAATTTTTTGTTTCCATCCATGTTTTTATTATGACGCGTTATTTTTTAAGAGCATTTCTGATGATTTTATTCTCCTATCTCCACTTTTTCCCAGATAATGTGGAGAAATAAAATTTTGCTTTTGAATTCAAAACGATTTATTTTCCTTTTTCTCTTTTGCTTCATTCATAACTCTCAGAAATACTGTTAGTATCGTTTTTATACCTATATTTGTTGTTCTTGTTTTATTCCTCGCTATTTTTATTATTTAGCTATAAGTGGTGATTCTGATAGACATTTTTTTCTATTTCTTGCGTTTTTTTTATTTTGCCACTTCTTTTTTTATAAATGTAAACTTTTGTATTTTTTATCGTTTTTTTTTAGTATATTATGTAAGCTAACATGAAAATGTTTAATAAATATAGATGTGAATTAAGTAAGGTATTTGTATATTCTTCTTACTTTTTCCCCTCTATTTAACAATTTCAATTCATTTATTCTCCTAATATTTGGGAACAACTATTATATTTTTTTCTCGCTTTACGGTTAAAATTTTTTCTAAACTTTAATACATATAATTT